ATGCGGGCCACACGACAGGGCCATGCCCCCGTGGCGTCCGACACCTCTACGTAGCCCACAGGCGCAGGTCCTGCGGGCCAGCCGTCGGGGCACGTGCCCCCGTGGCCATGACCAGGACGAGCACGTGCTCCGCGAACGATGCGCGAGACAGGGCACGCAAGGATGCCGTGCTCCGCGCGCCCTGCTCGGGGTAGGGGGCGCCGGAGGCAATGCTCCGGCGCCCAGCCTACGCAGCACCCACTCCGTGGGTGGCCGCGGCGACGAGGAGCAATTTTCTCTCCCCTTGGCCCCCTACGGGCAAACAAGGGTGACGATCGGGCTGCTACCCGCCTGTTTTCCTGGGAAGGGGTCCCAGTGGCACAGGTGCCAAACGAAGAGGAGGAGGAGGAGGAGGAGGAGGAGGAGGAGGAGGAGGAGGAGGAGGAGGAGGAGGGGAGGAGGAAAGGGAGGAGGAGGATGAGTTGGAGGAGAGGAGGTGGAGGAGGAAAAGCAAGAGGCCGAGGAGGGAGGAGGAGGAGGAGGAGAAGAGGAGGAGGAGGAAGAGGAGGAGAGAGGAGGAGGAGGAGGAGGAGGAGGAGGAGGAGGAGAGCCGTCTGTCTCTTCGGGGGCGGGCTGGGGCCGGGTCAGGGGCCAGAGCTGGGGCCCGGGCCTGGGCCAGGGCCGAGTGAGGCCGGGGCCAGGGGCTGGGGCCCGAGCCGGGGCCGGGGGCTGGTGCCCGGGCCGGGGCCAGGGCTGGCGCCGAGCCGGGGCCGCGACCCGGGTCGAGGCTGGGGCTGGGGCCAGGGTTGGTGCCAGGGCTGGAGCCGTGGCCGAGGCGAGGGGGGCTTCCCCTGCCAGAGACCACCCCCTTATCCTGCAATGCGTATTTAAAATAATGGATGCGTTTAGATGCGATCGCACCCAGGTGCAGGCGAGAAGCCCATCATATTTGTCTGCACCGACGACAAGATGGATATAATTTTTAGATGCGCGCCCCCGGCCTGCGCGGGAGCGCCGCCGTATCTAAACGTATTAGTTTTTTCGACCATATCTAAACATTTGGGACTATCTATTTTTCTTACAGAAAACATACCTATTCGCATCTATTTCTCAAAGACAGCGCCGCGCCGGATCTATTCGTCCTTAATTGTTGTCAGAATGAATGTTGTTGGTTGTGCTCGCGGCAAAAACACGATCCATGATATTGACCAAAGCTATGAACAACGGGATAGGGATACACCCTGTTCATTTCTAATTCGTCTCGCGGGCAACCCCGACAGAGCACGCATAATTCCGCCGACCCCTTGTGGGTCTCTAGGCGTGTGAGATTCTCTCCCCCCATAATCCCCCCCCTCAGGGACCCCAAACCGGCAATTCGACCCCCCCCCTCGCCCAGCGCGACCCCAGACCGAACGCGCCACGGGGGAGCGGAGGGCTCCAAAACTGGTCAAAAAGGCACCAAAACGTTCCACAGAGACGGTCCCTGGGGGCACGATTCGCCGACATATCGCCCCTAGACGCCCACGATGGCCTCCAGGCCGAAGCTGCCAAGACGCCCCAAAAGGCGTCCAAGATGCGCCCCAAGAGGGCCGCAAGAAACAGAAATCGGCCCATTTCCTTTCGAAAACTACGAATTTGTCGCATGCTCGCCTATTGGCTTCCACAACGTCCCAAACAGGCCAAGAAACCTTCAACATCGCCCCCTGACGGCCAAAGGGGCCCCAAAGAAGGGTCGAAGAGAGTCCAACACTTGCCCACAAACCCCCCAAGACAGCCCAAGAGGGCCCCCAGACGGCTGCATGACGGAGTCCAGAGGGCACCTTTTCAAGCCTTCAGCCCCAAGACGCCCCCAGCCTGCTCCAAGAACACCCCAAAAGGCCCTGAGAGACCTCCAAGACAACCTCCAAGACCTCCAAGAGGCCCCAAGGAAGTCCCCAAGAGGCCCCAAAACTACCTGCAAGACGACCCCGTCCGGCCTCCCACGAGATCCTCTCAACCATCCGTGTGGCCGCAGACCTGCAACCCAAGCAAGGTGGCGGGATGCGCCGCGTCCCATTCGAGAACCACTCGTCCGGTTTTCGGACCGACACATGCCGTCTACGAGCGCGGGTGTTCGCAGGTATTTCTCCTTGTCTGCACGGCGAACACTCCGAAAGCCAGCCACGAAAAACGCATTGACCACGCATTGTCCCTCCACTATCTGACATTGCCCCCGTCTCCAGAGCGCTCCGAAGAGACCCCGCGAAGCACCCCTCAGATTCGGATCCCCTACCAAGCCGGCTTGGACCGACGGCCATGACAAATTGCACGGTCCAAACACCCGCACAGGGTCTCGACATCCAGGGCGACGCGCACGATGTCCGAAGTGTCGGACATCTTTTCAAAAGGCCACCAGAGGCAGGAGTACACGCCTCCAAACCAAATCGTCCCTCCTCCTTCTCCTCCTCCTGCTCCTCCTCCCCACCCTCCCCCGCCTCCTCCTCTTCCGCTTTCTCCTGCTTGGTTTTCCTAATTCATCGATGTCGTCCTCCCGTTCGCTCTTACCCCCGTTGGTCGTACTTCTACGGATCGTAGCACCGGCGCTCGCATGGGTATTATTTGCATGCCTTGCATTTCAGGGTGCCCTTCTTTTAGACGCGCGCGACATTGCTACTGTCCACGGAGGGAGCCCGCCCACCCAAAGATACAAGACAACACAAGTACGCCCCAGGACAGCAACACGACTTCCCAAGTCGATCAAGGGGTCGGCGGATGTGTTGTAAGCCTAAAGAATATCTCGTTTCTCATTCTTCCCGGAATTAGAAATAAGCGGCTTTAGAAATGACAGTCCTTCCGAAACGCGAATTTGTATGGTTGTCTCCTTTTTGCCTCCAGCTCCCCTCTCCCGACGTCGTGCGTCCGTGTCGTGCGTCCGTCCGAGCGTGAAGGAATATTTTTGAAGACTGGAAGCAATAATTATCATAGATATTTCTACCGGGAATGCAAAGCACGGGTATACATGCATGTCTGGATATTTACATTGTTGTCTTCCTTGTGCCTCAACTTCACGCCCCTTCTTCCGTCCGTGCGTTTGCGTCCTTTCCCGTGCGTTTCCGGAAATAGAGTTATGTACCGGGATTGCCGGGAGTACCCTGATAGTACTTAATGTACGGATTTGTTTGGATGTGCCAGGAAGTATGGTATGGTTCATTTTTAATAGTTTAGTGCACGTTCCGTGTGTGTGTGTGTGTGTGTTTCTTCTCGTTGAGGTTCACATGCAGCATTTCGTAATCGTGATTAACAGTTGTCGCCCCATAATTATTGCGTTCCTAATTCTTCGCATAATTAGAAATGGGCGGTTTTAGAAATAATCGGCTTTAGACATGAACAATGTGTAGTGGGAAGCCGTAGCGATGAGGAGTGAAGAAACGAGCGACGACGACAAAAACGACGTTGAGCATGATTGATAACAGCGACGAAACGAAATTTATGAAAGAACTGGGTTGGAACAGGGAACCGTAGGAAGGGGAAAGCACAGAGGAGGAGGAGGAGGAGGAGGAGGAGGGGGAGTGATTCGGACGATGCGAGCGGACAAGGAGGAGGAGGAGGAGGCGGAGGATGAGGACGCGCGGCGAGGAGGCAAGAGGAGCGAGGTAAAGTTGAAGGGAGCGCCAGAAGGAGAACGTGGAGGAGGGGGAGTCCGGACAGGGATGAAGTCGATCAGTGATTGAAGAAAATTGCTCTTTTGTTTCGTTCTCCTCGTCCTCATGACAGTTCGGCCCGCCCGCCGTACATGATTTCCCACTTCACTTTCTCCTCCTTCTCCTCCTCCTCACCATCATCGTCGTCCTGACTGGCATGTGTATTGTCTTCCCTGTTCGTGGTAATTGAGCGGCCTAGGCCTGGCAGTGGAGACGCGGCGCCGTATCTATTCGTATTTATTTTTGGTAGACATGTTTTCAAGCGATGGGCGCCATATTGAACCGTATCTAAACATATCTAAACATGTCTATGAGTATCTGAAAGTGACCCCGCATGTAAAAGTTTGAAGAAAACTGACCTCCCGTATCTAAACAAGGAGAAGTCGTACCTACACGCACTTATTTTTGAAGCATATCTATTCGTAAGTCATTTTCTTTACGAAAGCGCCATAAACACATGATGCAGGGAGGAATTTTGGATACCATCCGGTCCTTCCGAATGCAGCTGCCGCTGGGGAAATGAGCAACCAACATAGATTTTTAGATGTGTCTTCCAGGGAATGGTCCTCGTTTTCCACAGTGGGGGACCGCGCGGGGCGAGGGGGACGACCCCCAGGACCGTCCCCCCTGGGACCCCCCCCCCAGGACCCCCCCTCGCGCGAGAGGGTATCTGGGTGGCGACCTCCCCCGGGGACCCCCCAGGGACATCCCCAGAGACACAGAGACCCCTGGCGCGGGGGGAAGGGATCAAAGGGAAGGAGCTTCCCTTCGATCCCACTCCCATGTTGTTCAATATTGTTTTGGACGGCGCGTATGAGGAAGAGGGCCCAGGCTGATGGAACAGAGGAGGACAGAGACGACGACTCCAACGGAAAAGCCCGACTCCAACGGAGAAGCCCCTCACACACGCCGACAGCGTCGGTGGATTTCCGTTCAGCCCAGCCCGTTGAATCCTGCAAGGCTTGGCTGAATCGTGAGCTGACTCTGGGCGTTTCTGGCGCAGTGGCTCTGCAGGCTGGTTTCATAGCTCGCGCTCGTTCTTGCGACCTCCGTATGCGGCCACGTATGGGCCATCCGTATGGGAGGTTCTGTTTGGCACGACGAGTTTGTCAAAGTGTGGCTTAACTTGATGCTGTGGGGTGCAGCAGGTGATCAAGCGGGATGTAGTGGGATTCCCCTTTGTGAAGGACTAGTGGGATTCTTCGGGGCCGCAGGAGGAATCTACTGGGGTCTCGTGGGTTTTAATGAGATCTTGTGTGACCAAGCAGCTGCGACGACGTGAAACGACCATGCCTACCCACCCGGACATCCAAGGAGTTGCCTTTGAACGTCACCCCTCAGGAGGTCGAGCTGCTGCTGTCGCGAACGACCGAAGGCCTCCAGAGCGTGGGCGAGAGAACGCAGGCGCTGCTCGCCGAGCGGCGGCAGCTGCGGCCCCCAGGCTCCGCGCAGTCGCATTCAAGGTCTCGGCGTGCACGCGCACCCCGACCTCCAGCTGTTCCGGTACGATTCAATACGATCTCCGACGGTACGATACGATGCGAGTTGTTCCTCGAAGCTGGCCTTTGGGGCCGTTTTTAGGGCCCGGGGGCCATCAAATATGGATCTAGGACGAAGAGCCATTCCTGGTGAAGGCCCCTGGCCCTCCCCGGATGTATTACACAGTTCGTCAGAAGAGGAATGCCTTGCGGTACCATCAGGATTCCCTCGTCGCCACGGTTGTATTCGCCTCGAAAGCTTGGTCAGAGCACACTCATTGAGAGGTTTGGGGAACTGCCGTAATGGTTCCTTTCTGTTTCCCCACGAGTAGCACGTGTTTTCTTCCCCGTTTTCGGCTTCCAGGGGACGTTGCCAAGCGCCAGGACTTCCAACAAAGGACAATCAGGATGACAAGCTAGCACTAATTAGGCAGAAGGTCTAAACCCCAGGTCATTCGGGGGCGTGATGCAAGAGCAGTGCATCGGCTCTCTAGCTAGCAATGTGACCTTTTTCAAGTGTGACCATGGGTGCGGGCCCACGGGGGTCCCCCCAGCGCTGTCTCGTGCGCGGGGATTTCGCGCACCCCTGAGCCCGCGCACCGAGGGCCACCTCTGCCTCCTCGAAACGGGATGCCCAAGACCTAAGACATGGCGGGCCTCAGCGAGAGCTGCATACACACGTGGCCTCGGCGCTTCTCCAGCGCTCGGCCATGGGGTGGTTGTGTCCGCAAGCCCTGCGCATGTGCATCCAGCGCGTAACGTTCCTCACGTGAATCCAGGCGTGTATGCTTCCAGCTTCCTGATGGGATCACTCACTCCACTCACGCTTGCTCGTGGCCGACAGGTCGGCGCTCTGGTCGCGGGGTTCTGGCCACTCGCTCTCCAGCTCGGCGAGTTTGCCGACCTTCGGGCAGCAGGATTCGCAGAGGGCAAGGACTTACAACAGAAGCACCAACACTCTGAGATCAGTGATGGTCCCCTCCCCCTGACGCGCGGAGCCCGCCAGGAGCGGTGCCGGAGGCGCCGCCAAATGTGCCCAGCGCCGATTCTCGGGAGGAGTAGACAGTATCACTGACAGCAGCGCCGTTCACCAAGATGTGCGTGATATTCGCTCGCCTGTGTTTCCGCGAGCCCGTCTTCTCATCATGAGTCGTTATTTGACGGCCCTGGGTCCCTGTATGGTGTCATTCATGCGGCGGAAAACAATAAAACATTTTCCACCGTGTTTTCGTCGCCACGCGAGAGGGTTTGGGCTCCGCGGCGGAGGAGTTCTAACAAGGGCTTGTGCAGATTCGAGGGCGCTTTAGTTCAGATTCTGCCAAATTCACTTGCACGGCATTCCCTCCTTCCTCTCCCCGCCGCCTTTTCAAGCAGCGCAGGGGCGGAAAGGGCGAGCAAGTGAGAGCCCCGACCTGCGTGAAGTCCAGATTTCATGTCGAGCCACGTTGAGATCAGACGTCTCGACAATACTGCAACCGCGTAAAAGAAAATCACGACTGGAGCGTTAGACCCCATCTTCTTGCACCATTTGTTGAGCCCAAACAATATGTGACGGTCAGGGCAAGAAATTCGGCTGAAGCGCCCTGCGCAAAAAAATGCTACGCCAGGATCTCAAGGCACGCACAGCATGCAAGTTAACTTGCCAGAGCCTAAAGACAGGTTGCCTGTTCTTTTCTTAGGTCACAGCGGGGGTTGCTAAGTGAGCAGGCGGGTATATACATGAATGCGGAAGTGGGTTAGATCTGGCCGAACCGAGCTTTTCAGCGGGCTACATGTGCCCTACGTGGCTTGGGTGGGTTCGATAGCTCCGCGAAGTGGACGGAGCCTATTTAGCCGGGATCTCCACCCCCCCCCACGTTTTCTGGGAAGTTCTCGTCCTCTGAATAGGCTAGATTCGGCCATCTACCAACTGTCCTGTCATCCACTTGAAGCCCCCTGGTCTCCCCGGCGCCCCCCCGTGGTGATTCAAGCTCTTCTCGAGGACGGGTGGGCAGCCGGCCACGCCCTCTCCTCGCCGAGCCGGCCCGGCTCCACCCAGGAGGACCGCGCGGGCAGCGAGGACGCCCCCTGGCACAGGAGCCGAGGCTTGGACGGAACGTGGCCCCGCGTCGGGCGAGAGGGGCTCGAGGCTCCCGGCTGCCCAGACCTCCGAGGATGCGCAGCATCCCGCCATGGCGGATCAGGGTGAGCGGGCGGGCGCGGCGTGGGCCGTGGGTCGCGGGAGAGTCGCGGGTGGGTCGCGCGGTGGGTCCCGGGCCTCGATTTCGGTTTCTGGGGCCCGGTATCGGGCCCGGAGAGCATGCATGAGAAACGGATCCTGGGCGACAAAGTATTCCCAGGGAGAAGGTCAGGAAGTTTGGGGCCGTTGAGTGGTCAAAGCCATCCCAGAGGATGTCAGGGGTTCTCGACGGTTCTCGAGGTTTGCCAGCAGCTGAGCGTAGCCGAGGGCGTCCCAGGAATGGCTGGATCCTTTCGAACAGCTGGCGTTCTCGCCCCGATAGGGGGTCCTGGGTCCTCGAGGCAAGCTGCAAAAAGGTGCGGTCCGGGGTTCCAGTTATGAATCCTTACGATGTCAATTTGTTTCGCGCCGTTAGATCGAAGAATTCGGCCTCGCCACCGGTCGCCTTCTTACAGAATGTCCAAAACCTATAAGAAGATCATGCCCCCCCGCCTCCTCACCCCCGGATCCCACGTGCCATTAATTCGCCGCCGAATGACGAATTATTGTTTGAACTGTCCCCCTGGGAAATATTTGAAGGAGACTGGAACGATGCGATTGATACGTACACTTATGCTTGCTTGTCTATAAGGGACCTTACGTTCATGCTATATATACATGTGTATATATACACGTATAAGTACATATCTATAAATATGTGTACATATATACATATATACATATAACGGCGCACCGGGTCCGGGGGCCCGGGGCCGGGACCTCTACCACAAATGTGCGCCCCGGGGGGCCCGGAGGCTCGTCGGGGCTTGCCGGAGGCCTCCCCAGTCAGACAAGACGGCCCAAGAAGCGCCCAAGACGGCCCAAGAAACTTCCAAGAGGCCTCCAAGAGGGCTCCGAGATGCTGAAGATGGCCTCCAGACGTCCAAGGACGCCCCCAAGAGGCCCCAAGAAGCCTCCAACATGCGTCCCAAGAGGGCCCCTAGACGCAAAAATTGGCCCATTCCCTTCGTAAAACGTACATTTTCAACAAAGTTGTCTTTTGGGCTTTCCGACGTTACAGGACGGCCCAAGAGGCGCCCAAGACCGCCCCAAGACGGCCCAAGAAGCTTCCAAGAGGGCCCCAGGACAGCCCAAGAGGGCCCCAAGACGGCCCAAGAGGCGCCCAAGATGGCCCAAGAGGGCCCCAAGACGGGCCCAAGAGGGGGCCCAGAGGGGGACCACGAACCGCAAGCTCGAGCCTTCCGCCCCAAGAGGCCGCCAGGAGGCCCCCAGGAGGCCCCTCAAGAGGCCCCAGGAGACCCCAGACGTCCAAGGACGCCCCCAAGAGGCCCCAAGAAGCCTCCAACATGCGTCCCAAGAGGGCCCCTAGACGCAAGAATTGGCCCATTCCCTTCGTAAAACGTACATTTTTAACAAAGTCGCCTTTTGGGCTTTCCGACGTTACAGGACGGCCCAAGAGGCGCCCAAGACCGCCCCAAGACCGCCCAAGAAGTTTCCCAGAGGGCCCCAGGACAGCCCAAGAGGGCCCCAAGACGGCCCAAGAGGCGCCCAAGATGGCCCAAGAGGGCCCCAAGACGGGCCCAAGAGGGGGCCCAGAGGGGGACCACGAACCGCAAGCTCGAGCCTTCCGCCCCAAGAGGCCGCCAGGAGGCCCCCAGGAGGCCCCTCAAGAGGCCCCAGGAGACCCCAGACGTCCAAGGACGCCCCCAAGAGGCCCCAAGAAGCCTCCAACATGCGTCCCAAGAGGGCCCCTAGACGCAAAAATTGGCCCATTCCCTTCGTAAAACGTACATTTTCAACAAAGTTGTCTTTTGGGTTTTCCGACGTTACAGGACGGCCCAAGAGGCGCCCAAGACCGCCCCAAGACGGCCCAAGAAGCTTCCAAGAGGGCCCCAGGACAGCCCAAGAGGGCCCCAAGACGGCCCAAGAGGCGCCCAAGATGGCCCAAGAGGGCCCCAAGACGGGCCCAAGAGGGGGCCCAGAGGGGGACCACGAACCGCAAGCTCGAGCCTTCCGCCCCAAGAGGCCGCCAGGAGGCCCCCAGGAGGCCCCTCAAGAGGCCCCAGGAGACCCCCAAGAGGCCCAAAGGAGGCCCAAGGACAGCCCAAGAGGGCCCCAAGACGGCCCAAGAGGCGCCCAAGATGGCCCAAGAGGGCCCCAAGACGGGCCCAAGAGGGGGCCCAGAGGGGGACCACGAACCGCAAGCTCGAGCCTTCCGCCCCAAGAGGCCGCCAGGAGGCCCCCAGGAGGCCCCTCAAGAGGCCCCAGGAGACCCCAGACGTCCAAGGACGCCCCCACGACGCTTCGCGTCACCAATTTCTTCTCACAACGGTTCCTGGGTCTGTGACTCGACAGAACCCAAGCGCGCGCGAAGCGCGCGCGTGGTTCTAGAGTATATATATATATACATACATATATATATATTATATATATATATATATATATATATATTATATATCGGTCAATCGGTATATATACATGACCGTATGTGTACCTGCATCTATATATACACACGCAAATATATGTACATATGTGTATACATATATGTATAGATACACCAATGTTTGAATATATATATATATATATACACACCAGGGAACAGGGCTGGCGGCTCCCAGGGAGGCCCCACGACGCGTCACGGAGGCCTCGGGGCCCTGGGAGCGCGTTGGGATCGCGACCCAGAGAGGGCGCGTAGGAGGTGTCCACGCTAGGGTCGCAAGGCGTGGCAGGCGTGGCGTGACGCCACGAGGTGATGTGCAGGAATCTGCCCCTCAACGTGGAGCGCCAGGGCGGTCGTGGGGACATCCCCGGTGGTCCGGTTTGCCCCGCCCGCGCTTTGTTTTCTAGATGCGCATTGCAGCGTTGAAAATGGTAAGTCTTTCTGAATTTCCCCAGATTTTGTTGCGAAGCTGTTTTCATAATCTACATTGGCGCCCCAGGCGCCAGGAGGGCACCAGGGAAACCAGCCATGCGCCGCCAATTGAACACAAGGATGGCTCCGTACAACCCCATTTGAAGGGAATCCGTAGCCAAAGGCATGCGCTCATGGATATTCGAAAAAAGGGCCTGAGGCTTTCAGCTGGCGAGTGTTAGCTGATTCGCTGGCCCCCCTTCGAGGATGCAGCTCTTGGGAGGTTGACTTCATCATCGGCGCTGGCATGTCCGTAATCGAAAACCAGGTCCAGTCTTCGATAATCCAGTGGAGCCCCGCCCAGTCCTCAAACACCGCCCTGCCCAGCAAGCACCGCTTTATCCACCCAGCACCGCCCCGCCCACCAAATATTGCCCCACCCACCAAACGGGCCCGCTCAATGGCCATCGATCGCCACCACCGCTCACCAATGGCCATCGATCACCACCACAGCCCCTCTCAATGGCCATCGATGAACCGCCCCGTTCAATGCCCACCCACCGCTCCACCAACACTGACCCACCCACCGAACCCATCGATCGGGCTCAATGGCTTTGAGTCGTGCCCGCGAAGGCCTTCCGGGAAGGGCCTCCCGACCGCCCCTTTGCTCCCTCTCTGTCGACATCAGCCATGTGCGCGTCGGCCCCCCGAGGGGTGACACGCGCGGTCAGACGTCTTATTGCGTATGATCGGTGGAGGGCGCGCTCCGGCCATGCCGCCCGGGCAAGGATTGACTGTTGCATGCTCGTGGGGGGGCGGCGCAGAGTAGAGGGGGGGGGCGTGCGTTGAGGAGTGCGCCCGGGAGGCCTCATACCCTGGAGGGTTCCGTACCTGATGACGGCGGCGATGATTTCCATGGCCAAGTCTCAGTTGGCGTTCCACCAGCTTCCAGCCCCTGGATGCCTTCCCCAATTCGGAGGGAGGAGAAGCGACACCAACACCAGCAGGGGGGCCACTTCCAGCGAGGAGGTCCACGAGGCCTCCCCGAGCTGGAGGCTGGGGATGTCTCGAGCGAGAGGGGGGGACCACACCACCAGGGAGACCCCCCTTGCCTCCTTGCATCTCCTCGCCCTGTTGGTGTTGGTGTCGCCTTTCCTTGTCCCTACCCAGTGGCCCTTTCTCCGCGGACCTCGCCGATATTGCTTGCCTCGGGCGTGCGCCTCCCGGGGTCCAACTTCGATCCGATCGGCGCAAGCCGATGCGACATCTGAAGAGAAGGCCCGCGTCTTCTTAGGAAGCAGGTGTGCTTCGCAGAAGCTTCCCCCCCTCCCCCTAATTATCCCCCTCTGCGCGTCGTCGACGGATTCTGGACGGCGCCGGCCCGATCCGAATCGATTTTCCGATATTCCAGCGGTCCGCGGCGGTCCGATGGTTACATGGCGCTGTTGTGCACTCAGACGCGGCCAAGCCGATTCGTTTCCGACGTCGTGCAGGCGGTGCCCGGTCCGACGCACATTTTGACCCGATCCGAGCTTCGCAGGCCTAGCGGCGGTGTGCCTCCACCGAGGGAAGAAGATCCCGATCTCGGTGATGGTGGTAATACGCTGGCTTTCAAGGTGACCGAGCTATTACCACCAACGCCAACATCTAGGATCATCTTCCCCCTGTGGAGGCAACCCCTTGTGTTGGTGCTGGTGCCAATTTCCAGGCCTCCAAGAGTTCCCCATTCGATGTTGATGGATTTTGCCCCCGAGGCGGGCGCACATTAAGCAGCTTGCTCCTCCCTCCTCCTCCTCCTCCTCCTCCTCCTCCTCCTCCTCCTCCGTATCCATTTTGGCTCAAGGCTATGAGCCGTCCCGACGACCGCGAGTCTTTCGGGGCGACCTCAGAGCGCGAGGGAGGTTCCGCTTTGAGGCCACTCACCAATCCTGTCCTCCTGTCCCTTGCAATCCTTGTTGGCCTTCACTGCGGGAGTTGGGCCCCCGCCAGATCTCTTCCCATCCCATCTACGCTATTCGCGATGGTTGATGGCGCCTCCGCGGGGGA